ATGTTTATACATGTACATAGTACATGTATAGTACATAGCACAGTACGAAATATCATGTAATGATTGAATTATTTCTATCCAGGATTTGATTAACTATGTGGAGAAAATAGTCTTGCTTGGTACTGTCATACATTTTCGCCTAATTCAAGTTCATCCTGGTAACGACATTCGGTTTATTAAATCTATCAGGGCAGAATTACTTTTGCGTATGCATCCAGAATATTTCTTTGCTTTTTCTCTCATTATCGGCTCATTTTGGGTTATGGTCAATAACCACTACTGTCATGTTCTCCCATTTGCTACCTACAAGGATGAAATTGTAACGTGCAACGCGGCCGAGCTGGTGTGTGGTGATTTGTCTTGAATCACCGAGGCGTTACACTCAGGTTCGTTAATCTGTTATAACCCAGATTTTTGTTGACCAAAAATAATACATATACAACTTTAATACAAAGGGCTTCTTCTTGATTGGCTAACCACAAACTTTGGTCAACAGGTGTCTCCCGTAAAGAATTTCTTCTTGTCCTGCCACTTCACGGGTACAAGTTTCCTGTCATTTCTCCCACCTCTGTGGTATGCCACCTCTTTCTCAAAACCAAGTGACTGCCTTATTCAGTTCTTACGTGTTTGATCTTACTAAACACTTAGCTGTCTATCCCCCGCAACTGTCTGCCTTATTCCCTTATTCAGGTCTTACAACAATGTGTAGGAGAACAAATGGCCAAAGTTTATCAGCTCTTTCACTAGAGAGGTATATTCAACACAATAAAACGGCATGTATTATCTCAGTGCAGTCCCAGCGCCTATACAGTTTTGATCTACTTAAATGAATTTTTAGTGCTTAAAAAATTAATTAAAACGTATGCCCAACGTTTTATACGAAACTTAATGACAAAATCAAATTCCCCATCAAAATGTTCCCCAACTGGTTCATTGAGATTCTTGGTCTGAATGGTTGAACGGTGATTATTAATTCTCCTGCGTAGATCTCCCCAACATACTGTTTAGAAAAAACTTTACAGCTGATAAAATGATGATCTGATCGACATGACAAAGTCCGTAGCATTCTTTAGCTGCGGTCTGTAACGGGGCTGTTAAAGCTGTCTGTGTCAGAGCTGTGATTTTCTGTCAGCGCAAGTTTTAAACCCCAGGTTGGTAATGGGTTGTTCAATCTGGTTCTTACTACCATATCCTTTAAAGGTGCTTAGACACAGATTTGAAGTTAATATTTACTCAAATTTTCTGTATAATTTCATGACTTATATGTTGCTATAGCATTTCATAAGAAAATTTGATAAAAATCTAATTTTATCTGAAAGTTATTGAAACTTCGAATTTCAGGACTCGTTTGATAGACACATCCTTGCACTTTCACAAATTTTAACTTTATCCTTAGTACTTTAGAAAAGTAGCAATTTTGTTGTTTATTAATGAAAAATATTAAAACTATAATGCAGAAATTCCAGAGTTGAAATGTAGAAAGCAAAATCCTCTCACCAGTACTGTCAGTCCGTGCTCAGTGGTGTGTGCAGAGTTTAACAATTGAACACACCCGGTGAAACGTAAACATTAACAACAGAGCTCGTGTCCTGTTAATAAAAACAGTTTACGCTTCACGGGTGTATTCAATTTGTTAAACTCTGTAGACAACTACACAACACTGAGCACGGCCTGACAATACTTAAGTGAGTGGGTTTTGCTTTCGCACATTTTTACTCTGAATTTTCTGGATTATAGATGTAATATTATTCATTTATACACAACAAAATTGCTACTTTTCTTAAGTATTAAGGATAGAGTTAAAAATTGTGAAAGTGCAAGGATGTGTTAATCAATTAATTTGAGAAAATATAATTTAAACTTCAAATCTGTGTCTAAGCACCTTTAAGTTCCTCGGCCTTTAGGCAGCCAATGGAGGTTTCTGAATGACTCCTGGTTTCCATTTCTTTTTATCTGAGTGAAGAATTGACAGGCTCTTTTTAAGAATACCGCTGAGCTTCTTAAGGACAGGATGGTACGTATTTATACATTTTTTTAGAAATAGAAAACTTGAATATTTTAATGAACAGAAAGTGGTCTAAAGAAGAAATCACATGTGCAAATATGATATGTTACCAATAAACTTATCTGATGGCCAATACATAGTGTATCTAGGCAGTTTAATAATTCCATTCAGAAACTGTAAACCGAGAAAGCCTTCATCTCGTCAATAGTGGTGTCTATCCACCCCTGTGCTCCACACTGGGCAGAATAAAAGTTTGAGTTGTCCTCAAGAGTCAATAGAACCAATAATAGCATAAAATACAACAAAAGATTGGAATCTGAGAATCTGAATTCAGCTGATGAAGTCTCGACAAAGTCTAGAACATCAAAGTCTTCCACAACTTCACTCAAGAAGTCAGAATCTCTAAAATCGCTAGGTTGGCTGTCAAGGTCAAGCAATATTAACTCTGTATTCCAATTATCATTGCTGTCTGTCTTACTTCCAAAGGTATAATAGCTGTTCGAATCATCCTAGTCACAATCTGACACAGAATGAGAAGACTCGTCGTCAAATTCTTTCTCTGAATCTTTATCTGATGATTCTGAGAATGAAGAAACGTTGCATGAAGCCGTAATTGGCTTCATGCCGATCCCGATTGAGTTTTTATTTAATTTTTTTTTTGGTAAATGCTTTTTGGAACAAAATTGTAATTCGTCAATGAAACCATCTATTTTGAGAGTATTAATTTATTGGAACGAAAAGTTGATTTATATGTATATTTCAGTTGTTTGTTTTGTTTTGTTTTGTTTTGTTTGTTTTTGCTAGATATTTCAACATTTTCACATGCATATCATATAAGACGAACGTAACATTTTATGAATTGGCCGATATTAAAAACGTTTCCTTAATTATGAAACGAGTTTATTATTCTCTTCATGAGACAGTTAATCTCCAATACATCTGATTGAATTAACTCTTTGATTTGAATATTTTCTGAATCTGTTCAAATTGTTTTGTCACAAAAACTAGATACGTGTTTGTACCGCATGGCTTTCGATCGCGGCAAATATCACTAGAATAATGGAAAATGCGTATTTGCCATTCAAATACACATACACAGGGAAAGTCCTATTAATTGCTCAAGTTATGTGCAAACTTTCCCTGTTATTGTTGTAAGCTGAGACAATCCAACCGTATTCAGGTTTTTTTCTTTTTTTTTTCTGTTTTCGTTTTCTGTGAAATTCTTTGGTTTTTAAGAACAATTTATCCGTTTTACCTCCTACAACAATTTTTTTACTAATGTCCACAAGATTCCTAAGGTCCTAAATTAAATACATTAAAAATGAAATGACTATCTTCATACAGAGATTTTGAATATGCAGAAATGAACGTAAACCTTATTGTGTTCAAAAACTACTCACTGTAGACCGTCATCTGACCTGTTGCAGACAGGTAGATGAACCCTTGAGGATATAATTATTACATCTTGGCCTAAACAAAATGGCACCAGTCATGATTAAATCATTTTTATCTTGATTTAATAACAAGAAATACACAAAGATTTGTAATGAAATAGAGACACAAAGGGTTTAATTTCGTGTGAAACATGTACTTAGTATGTTGTTAAACTTTTCTCTCACCATTCGATTTAGGCCCCCAGCTCGCTTCGCTCGGTACCAGATCTCATGGTGCTCAGGAAAAGATTACCAACATATATTTTAAGATAACTTAAAGATGATCTTTTATCGTACTTTAAGCACCTATAAGCCGTCTTTAAGCCAAGGAAATGTTTCATCTTAAAATGTTTTCTTAAAATGTAGTTCATGGTCATACATGTAATTAAATTCAGCAACTGTATATACGAGGGTTGTTCGGAAAGTTCGTGGACTACGCCAATCTTCGTTATACTATCTTCAAGAAATTTAAAACGAGCACATTATCATATGTAAAAATATTTATTTTGTTTAAGTGTGAAGTTTCATTCCATGTGATCTGATAGAATTCATGTTATTTAATTTTATAATAAGCACGTTTTGTAACTACGGAGCAAACTCAACAACACTGTAACATCAAAAACATACCGACATGAGATTCTAAAAAATACTATCCCTATACATTTCACAGTATTGCCCAATACCAATGCACTCATTAAAATTTTTTCTCTATCACTTGAAATCTATATTGCTAACAATTGTTCCAGTAGCATCATTTTCTTGGTCAATGTTATATTTTTTCACTGCATAAGTGTGCTTTCACAAGATCAGCATCTGTGAAGTGCCAAACTCTTAGCATGACGTTACTAACTTTTCAATGTTTTTTATATTAAGATTTTTACAGATAATCCGTTTTCTCACAGATCACCATCGTCTAAGCAGAGTAGTCTATCATTCAAATACCGCTTGTAACATGTACACACACATGGATGGCTCGCTTTTGACATATTTTCTACTTCCTCTGGCATTTTTAGAGTTTTATCTGGAGTTTTCCAGAGTACAACACAAAACTGTACGGTTATCTGCTGCTCCGTGACGTTCTACGACGTACATGTAATCTTTTATGACTTTTTCAATGAGGACTACCTATCTTCTGAAACTGATTTTTTTTTTCAATGAAGCAAAATATTGAGTCATAATTTGGAATCAGAAACTATGACGCAATTTTTAATTTGAATGTGTAGAATTTTTCCGTTTTTGTGTCATTTTACAGAAGATATGACTTCAGACATTATTTAGCGTCTTGACTTTAAATTGCAAAATTTTGACCTGCTCCGTGATCCGATTGTCGCATTTTTTAAGTCTAAATAAGTTTGAAATAAACCATGATATTTTAAAAATTTTTAATACACTTTATTTGAATTTACTGTTGAAATGATAATTCCAAATTTGGATAAAATATGACTTTTAGTAAAAAATTTATGACGGCAGTCCATGAACTTTCCGAACAACCCTCGTAAGAGCCCCCTTTGCCATTTTAGGTTGGCAAAGTTTGTTGGCGATTTGAACTTTGATTCACTTACTTTTTTCCTGTGATCCGTTCATGACCTTTCTTTTTGACAACTTGCAACATACATCCAGTGGTGTGAGTTTATTTTCTCCAATATGAGTTATGCTAGATCCAGCCTTGATAAGCAAGATAACAAGTTCTTCTGCTTCATATCTGATAGCCTTCATGAGCAATGAGTCTTCGCCTTCTTCAGCTGTGTTTAGATCGGCTTTTTTGTTCAACAACAAACTGAACAGTTGTTTTATTTCAGTTTCTGTTTTGACTTTTGCCTCATTTGTTTCGCCATCTTGGTAAAAGTTACTTCTGATATTTCTAGGAACAGTGACTAAAGCCTGAAAAACGCGTTCAAGGAGACGGGTTCCTTTGCTATCGACGGTATTTGAATCATTTCCTGCTTCCAAAATCACAGTAAAAAGCTCTCTTTTCTTTGGTGTGTCTATTAAAGGAAATTAAATTTGTTTCGGACAATTGTTTCAGTATATTTCAGTATATTAAAGTACCCTTTTCTCCGAGTACTATAGTACTGTCTTTTAACAAGTTTTTATTTTGTACATTAACAAAAAGAAAATTGTGTGGCAGGACTAATTTCAGCATGATGTCAAAATTGCTAACTGGTGACTTTAAATCAACTGAATATAAACGATGTGAAAATATGTTTCACAAAATTGATATGACAGTTAATCATCGCCCTTATTTGGAAACAGCAATACGATAAGGGTCAAAGACTTATTTTTTGTACTTAAGAGATGCTTAAAATGTATTTTTAAAATGGATATCTGATAAGTTATTAGATAAATTAATAAATTAATTAATTTTAGTGATTGTTTCCCATGTAGATGTATATTTGTAAAACGTTGAAGCTTGATAATTTGAAAAATGAAAGAAATTATATACCTAATGGGAAACAATGAAAGATCGCCAATTCTCCATCAGCCTCCTTTTTGTTGACGTCGTACCCAGCATTCAACAATAACTTCGTCATCTCTATGTCTTGGGACTCGATAGCCAAGGCCAATGTAGATTTTCGTTCCTTAGGAAACTGAACATTTATGTCAGCTCCATTGTCGAGGAGACATTTAATTAGGTCAGTTTTCTTTTGTTGTCTATAAGAATGACGATAATTTGTTCTAAGTGCCACGAGCAATGGCGATTCCCCTGCGTTGTTTACTTCTTTGACCAAACTCCCCGCCGCTAGTAGTTTTTGAACTAGTGTTAAAGGTGCTTCTGGGAAATATGATTCTATACAAATATAAATAATCTCAACATTTTATTCACATATCGAGAGTCTTTTATGAAGAAAATTATATTATAGACAATATGTTAGACTATAATCAAATGCCAATACTCTTACAATCCAACCCTTAAAAGCAATAACCAATTGAATATGAGACTTGCTTTAAACATTTGAGCAAAAATATATCTGAAGAAGAATACCTGGTTTATGCTATTCAAACATACCCATTTCACAGATGATATGTAAAGCTGTGTTTCCATCTTCATCCTTTTGATTCAGGTTTATTCTATTTTCGATGAGAAATTCTGCAACTTTGTACTTTCTTCTCTGTAGGTAATGAATCAAAAATGAACTAGCATTTCGTGGGTCATCTAAAACAGCACCTTTCGATATCAAAAGTTTAGCATTTTCAACCACAGTTTCCTCAGATGAGAAGTATTCTGAAAGCACCTTTCTTAAGAGATTTGTGTCAAGTTCACTTTCGAGGGTCTTCAGTGATATTGCACAGTCCACAAACGCAAGCATTTGATCTGAAAGAATGAATTTAATATGATGCATAATTCAGCATTGAATTTAATTTAGTTAAATTATAAACATGGCAAAATATATCAGCAAAAAAAAATGAAAGCATATGGACTACAATTATACATAATCATGTACTACACGTAACGGTATATTTTTTCCGCTTGAACGCACACAATACACAGGTAATCAACAGTAATGGGGTAGTAAGAAGATCATAATACTTCTAGTCATATGCTATAACTATATCATATGCAGCTATATGACACAAAAATGCATTCAAAACTGCGTATAGTTAATTACGATATTGTTTTGGTATTCATAATTTGCTTCACAGTAAATCCTTGCAAGCATTTTTTAACTGAATTAATACAACATTTTCGCAATCAGATTGGCTTCATTACTGGGAAAGTAAACCCCTCAGTTGTAACGTTTTACCAGTTGTTTACGTTGTGGCCTATACCAAGAGGGTAAAGTCTGTAATTAAAGTTACATAATGAGCCAAAATCATGTATTTCTTTTAAGATAATTGTTTAATTTATGTAAAATATGAATAAAGCGAAGTTTTAACTACTCAATTGCACTGTAAAGCAAGAAAAGAACTGCAAAATGTAAGTGCCGAAAAGCAAAGGTTGTATCTATCGCTTAGTTGTTATCGTCAATGTCAACAATGTCAAGGTCACGCGACTTATATTCATAGAGTGAAACTTGCAAACAACATTGAATTGGAGCAAGCAAAAGTGAGGAATAAGTTCTGATCATTGAAAATTGTATCAAAATCCTCGGTCATCCGACATTTATATCTATGGAATTGACACCATGATAAATTCTTCAACTTTTCTGCGCATGCGTACAATAAAGAGGAAGAAGTGAAGCAATATTTTTGTGTTGGGGCAAACTAACATTATTTTTACTTTTATTTTTTCCACAAAGTAAATTTTTTAGGTTCTGAAACTTGTAATTTTCTGAAACCTAATATCTTCAAGAATTGAACAAAATTTGCATGTGTCATGCAAAAATTCTACTTTTGTCAATTTTCCCCTTTTTCCTTCACGGTGTTTCTTTAAAAAAATGTATTGCATAGTGTTCCTCCTTGTGTAGAATGGAAATTTCAATGTAACAAACCTTTTAAAAGCAAATGATCTGCTAATATTTTTTTTAAAAATAAAACCCAATTAACGGTTACAACTTTGTATAATGAATTGTGGTAAAACTTGCATGCATATGACCAGTAGAAGCCTTGCCAAAGCAAGAATTGACCGCTTTTTATTGATTAATATTATAAACCACCCTCCACCCCCAAAAAGTTGGGTCGGTAAAACAATAATAATAGAATTTAAGAGTGCATTTATGTAAGAATTTATAATAACACCCCCCCCCTCCCCCAACGAATTTACACAAAATCCCTTTTCAACAATTTTCCAAACTTATTCATATTCATTCTTTAATATGAAATGGCATTTTTTGTTTACATTCCATATTATATTGACAGTATAGTCATGTGAGTTGGAAAAGCAGTAATAAGAGTTTCTACATGGAATCCAATTTTTTTAAGTGTAAAAAATTGGACATCAGTTGTATTTTGGTAGGCAGAGCTTGAGATGCTACACATTGAACGTCCACTTACAATAATTAATATATCAAATGATAGTTTTTCTCAAATAATAATATTTAACTTTTTGTTTTTAGAAACGTCTCATTTTTTATGTTTAAGTTAAAAAAAAATTCCCAAATTTTCATTTTTTTTTTTAAAATTCTTGAAAGTTTGTATCGGTCGGTCTTGAAGAACATTTAAAAGAAAAGTGGCCAAAAAGCTTCAAATTACACCACTTGGAGCCTTTTTAAACAAAATTTTCTCCGGGGAGACCCACCGAAACCGCACCCATGAGAGGGGGACACGACACCCCTCTGTAACAAAAGGCACTGGATTATAAATAACTAATTTGATTTGTAAACATAAGCCATCAAAGATGTTAAGTTAAGGTTTTTCCATCCTCATGTGACATCATAGGTTTTTGCAAAATCTTTCATTAATTATACTTTGTGCTCATTATAAAGGAGATGGGTGAACAAGTGGCGCAGAATGCCTATAGCTTCAGATATATAAAAATCATTATCAATTTGTGAATTTAGTATTAAGGGGAAGAAGGACCTTGAGCTGAAAAAATACTTGTCATTCAATTTTTTTCATATTTTGTATATTTCTAATTATTATATAAGTATGTCCTACATATCTTAAAGCAGTTATATCATTAGGTTTCTTACCTAATTTTAGAGATATTGATTGACAAATACTATGCCCTACAGTATCAAAGTGGAGTTTTAATTCTCCATGTTTCCGGGCTCATTACTCCGTTCATAATAAGATTTTTAAGCATATATTAAAAATATGTAAGTGGATATGTTTCTTTTAAAATATACCAGAGTATGAATAGGGTTTAAAATTCGAAAAAGCAAGTTTCTTCTATCAAACTGCATCTGGATAGGGTAAATTACGTGCTTTTTAAGACAAGTTCAACAACAAAAGACGTAATTTACAAAGTAAATCTATCATTCAATATTTTTAAATTTACGTTGAAATGCAAGTTTTTCAAAATATTGATTAACTGTAAAAATTTTGAATGGTGAAGCTGGCCTCAATATTGCACAGGACATCGTTAAAGAGGACATAAGCATGACAAAAACGTGTCATGTTTACATTTCTCGAGTACGGGAAAAACCAACTATGACGTCACACGTAAGCTAACAAAGCGAAAAAAGATATACCTACATAAGATTTCCGTCATCAGCCATGCAAAAATAATTTTTGTGTTCCCCGTTTCTAAAAATATTTCATCATATACCGATAATGACCTGTTTTTAACATAATAATGCCGCCCCTGTATTCACCGAGTATGATCTTGCTGTACTAACAGATCGTGTATGACGTCACCGACTTGCTGTACGCGCAGTTTGGGGAAGCAGAGGAGTGGATCAATCTTTTTCATAATTTGTTATTGTTTACAAGAATGTTAAAACTTTTTTTTATTTTTTTGTATAAGATGGTAATTAAAGATAAAAAATTGTCAAAAATTTATACAAGAACTGATGCTTTACAGGTTTTGCACTTCTATAAACGGAGACTATGATATTTTTTTTGCAAACTCTGAGGATAAACTTTAAAAAATAAGGACAGAGGATCCACTTTATCGAAAAATTGTGTTATAGTATGAGAAAATGATCTTTTTTGCCCTCTCTAGTGTGTGTATGCAGTGTTTAAAACTCAGACATTAAGGGCTGACTACTAGTAAAAGTTGTCAGTCCTGCCCAAGATCTACTAGCCCGGGAAAATACTTGTCTTTTATAAATTTGATTATGTGACTGGAACAAGTCACCATAACTTCGAACCAGAAACTATAGATTGATAAATTCTTCCCCTTGGCTTGTTTCATTTTACTACCAATACTATTAATTGATATAAAAGAAATTTATCAAATATATGAATTTTAATTATTGAAAATTTTAACTCGTCTAGCCGGGCATCAATACATGCAAATTTTTTCGCCCGCTGCAAAATTTGTGCGTCTCGGGCGGTCGGTCGGGCGCACGGTTATTTCAAACACTGGTGTATGATATTTCAAAGGCAAATAATTTCAATCCTAGTGGGATTTTTGCAAATTATGGAGATTTTGCATGAATTATACTTTAATTTTAGATAAAATATCAAGGAAAATTTTGTTATAATTGAGATTTATTTTTCACATTCATGTTTTATTTGTTGCACTATAGACATTGCACTCGCCTTGTTCGCCTATCTTCTTTATTGATTAGAAGAATGCTTTTCAAAAGATGTAATAAAAATATTGTTTAGGGAAAGAATCTAAAAAATTATTATTTTGTATCAAATAATTATTTATTCTTTAAAAATTGTGCAAGGACGAAAACTCCAACTTTGGATCTTTTTCATGCTTCCATCGTAAAATGGTTTCCTTGATGAACAAAATTTAAACATATTTATAAAGTTGCAAATTATTTGGAAATTTATATTTCAGAACTATGTCATTTGAATGAGTTTTTAGGTGATCTTCTTTCTGATTACCAAAAATGTGCATTTTTAATGCTTTCAGATACTTCTTTTATTTAAATAAAAATGTAGGTTTTCTAGTTTCCTTAAGGAAGGCAAATATTCTGGTAGCCTGCATTCCTAGATGCAATATTCATTCAAACGTTTCGAAATAGGGCTTCTATTAACCTTGGAATGAATCTTTTTTTAAAAAATATATAAAACTAAACACGTAAATAGACAAACGCCATATTAGTTTTCCTATATCCGATATCAGTACTGAAGTAAATCCTTCGTATTTTTTACACCTGACTGCTTTCTTGTCGAATTCCTGTGTAGAATCGACGAAAAGTGTTCTTATTGGTTATATTACATTACATTTGCTTACATTTAATAGCAGATAAGGTGTATTTCTGTTTGTTTGTACTGCACTGACCTGTGCAACTGATGTAAGTTTCTTTGGTAACTTTCCCTTCTGTCGTGAAAAAAAACACACATTTACTCTTGTCGCTACCGAGAGTTTTGTAACAGCTATGTAGAATACGTCCGTCCAAACCGATGAAAACTTTTTACACTGAACCTATACCAAATGAACAGCTTATATTAGGGCCATACAGCTAACGGAAAATGCAGAGTAATATGGAGGACAAACATAGATCTCTGCCTTTAACGAATCAGCTTTAATTTGGTTACTCATCCTCAAAATGTAGGTCAAATCCAGAATCCAAAGCAAGTCTGATAGCTTTCATCCCTAGATGAATAATTCATGCAGGTTTGTCTAGATAGGCTTATAGTTACTTGGTATTGGACTCGCTCTAAAACATTAAGCTGGTCATTCATCCGGAAAATTTAGTTAGACCAAACATCTCAAGCAAATCTGATTGTGTGCATTCCCAGATGTATCATCAACGCAAGTTTGTTTTAGGCAGGGCTTAAGTTAAACTGAATGAACTTGGTCCAAAAACT